CACCTTAAAGGGACAGTACACAGCTCATTAACGTCACCTGAACACACCACCTTAAAGGGACAGTACACAGCTCATTAACGTCACCTGAACACACCACCTTAAAGGGACAGTACACAGCTCATTAACGTCACCCTGAACACACCACCTTAAAGGGACAGTACACAGCTCATTAACGTCACCTGAACACACCACCCTTAAAGGGACAGTACACAGCTCATAAACGTCACCTGAACACACCACCTTAAAGGGACAGTACACAGCTCATTAACGTCACCTGAACACACCACCTTAAAGGGACAGTACACAGCTCATTAACGTCACCTGAACACACCACCTTAAAGGGACAGTACACAGCTCATTAACTGCACCTGTGAACACACCACCTTTAATAAGGACAGTACACAGCTCATTAAAAGGCAGTACACAGTACTGCCCCTGAACACACACCTTAAAGGGACAGTACACAGCTCATTAACGTCACCTGAACACACCACCTTAAAGGGACAGTACACAGCTCATTAACGTCACCTGAACACACCACCTTAAAGGGACAGTACACAGCTCATTAACGTCACCTGAACACACCACCTTAAAGGGACAGTACACAGCTCATTAACGTCACCTGAACACACCACCTTAAAGGGACAGTACACAGCTCATTAACTGCACCTGAACACACCACCTTAAAGGGACAGTACACAGCTCATTAACGTCACCTGAACACACCACCTTAAAGGGACAGTACACAGCTCATTAACGTCACCTGAACACACCACCTTAAAGGGACAGTACACAGCTCATTAACGTCACCTGAACACACCACCTTAAAGGGACAGTACACAGTTCATTAACTGCACCTGAACACACCACCTTAAAGGGACAGTACACAGCTCATTAACGTCACCTGAACACAACACCTTAAAGGGACAGAACACAGCTCATTAACTGCACCTGAACACACCACCTTAAAGGGACAGTACACAGCTCATTAACGTCACCTGAACACACCACCTTAAAGGGACAGTACACAGCTCATTAACTGCACCTGAACACACCACCTTAAAGGGACAGTACACAGCTCATTACTGCACCTGAACACACCACCTTAAAGGGACAGTACACAGCTCATTCACTGCACCTGAACACACCACCTTAAAGGGACAGTACACAGCTCATTCACTGCACCTGAACACACCACCTTAAAGGGACAGTACACATCTCATTAACTGCACCTGAACACACCACCTTAAAGGGACAGTACACAGCTCATTAACTGCACCTGAACACACCACCTTAAAGGGACAGTACACACCTCATTAACTGCACATGAACACACCACCTTAAAGGGACAGTACACACCTCATTAACTGCACCTGAACACACCTCCTTAAAGGGACAGTACACAGCTCATCAACTGCACATGAACACACCTCCTTAAAGGGACAGTACACAGCTCATTAACGTCACCTGAACACACCACCTTAAAGGGACAGTACACAGCTCATTAACGTCACCTGAACACACCACCTTAAAGGGACAGTACACAGCTCATTAACTGCACCTGAACACACAACCTTAAAGGGACAGTACACAGCTCATTCACTGCACCTGAACACACCACCTTAAAGGGACAGTACACATCTCATTAACTGCACCTGAACACACCACCTTAAAGGGACAGTACACAGCTCATTAACTGCACCTGAACACACCGCCTTAAAGGGACAGTACACACCTCATTAACTGCACATGAACACACCTCCTTAAAGGGACAGTACACAGCTCATCAACTGCACATGAACACACCTCCTTAAAGGGACAGTACACAGCTCATTAACGTCACCTGAACACACCACCTTAAAGGGACAGTACACAGCTCATTAACGTCACCTGAACACACCACCTTAAAGGGACAGTACACAGCTCATTAACTGCACCTGAACACACCACCTTAAAGGGACAGTACACAGCTCATTAACTGCACCTGAACACACCACCTTAAAGGGACAGTACACAGCTCATTAACTGCACCTGAACACACCACCTTAAAGGGACAGTACACAGCTCATTAACTGCACCTGAACACACCACCTTAAAGGGACAGTACACAGCTCATTAACGTCACCTGAACACACCACCTTAAAGGGACAGTACACAGCTCATTAACGTCACCTGAACACACCACCTTAAAGGGACAGTACACAGCTCATTCACTGCACCTGAACACACCACCTTAAAGGGACAGTACACAGCTCATTAACTGCACCTGAACACACAACCTTAAAGGGACAGTACACAGCTCATTCACTGCACCTGAACACACCACCTTAAAGGGACAGTACACATCTCATTAACGTCACCTGAACACACCACCTTAAAGGGACAGTACACAGCTCATTAACTCATCAATCATTTAACTAGTCAGAGAGGCTTAAAGAGCGTTTTCACAACAAAAGCCCAGAATGAGAAGCTGTATCTTCACAATAACAGCCCATGTTGATCAGAGATGTTGTTGTTGTTGTTGTTGTTGTTTATATGTGTGTTGCTGTGGCTGCAGGTAAACTGAAGGACCTGGGGAACCTGGTTCTGAGGCCGTTTGGACTTTCAACAAACAACTTCCAGATGAACCAGGACGCTCAGACCGGTTCCTACTCCATCAACTTCGTCCAGAACCCCAACAACAACAACAGATGACATCAACATCACAACAACAACAGATGACATCAACACCACAACAACAACAGATGACATCATTACAACAACATATGACATCATTACATCAACATATGACATCACCACCACAACAACAGATGACATCATTACAACAACATATGACATCACCACAACAACAACATATGAGATCATTACAACAACATATGACATCACCACAACAACAGATGACATCATAGTGTGTTTCTGGGGGAATTAAAGCGTATTTTTTTGTTTACTGTTTGTTGTTGTTGCACTGTTTTTCTGGTATCCATGGTAACAGCTTCTGCAGCACCTGGAACATGTTGTTGTTAATAAATAACTACTTTGTTTATTTAAAAGCACGTTGTCCTAATTTGGTGTCCAAAACAAAAACTATTATAAATTAAACTCTTCAGTTAAAATAACTTTATATTATTAACAAAGAATAATGTTCGATGCTTAATGAATTTAAAGCATTAATAAATATAAACAATAATACAAACAAATATACTGGAGTTAATATTGAATGTTATATGTGAGGATTCTGGAAGATACATTATTACTTATACACATATTATATGTGTGTATATATATATACATGGTCAGGGTTCGAGTTCTGTGGGAGCCAATGGGAGCTGAGCTCCTATGAACGCAGTGAAATCATACATCTGTGGGGGGGGGGTCGCTAATACATTACCAACAACCATTACTTCAATCACCTCCAAGGTGTGTGTGTGTATATAAGCTAAAAGAACTTGCCTCACCACACCGAGGCATCTGACACCTTTTCATGAATCCTTTCAGAAGTAAATGGTTTTACTGTGTACAGGAAGTATAAGGATGCTTCTAACAAAGGGGGACAGCTAAGCACGACAGCACGATGCTCAATACAATGGTCAGATCTTCCTTTGAGTACCTTAGCATAAGCTTTTCCCGGCTGGTTGACCATCACTCAAGATTGAAGAGACATGTCTGCCAGAAACCGGAACAACGTCTAGAGCCTTTAATATTCCTGGGCAAATCTCATCCATATCTGGCGCTGTGATATTGGGATACGGGCAAAGCTTCCCTATAATCTTCCAACTTTTCATTATCCATCGACATTTTGGATGTGTTTGGGAGCCCTTCAAAGTGCCTGACAGTATCAGGATATCAGCAGCTCTCCTCCTGAGCTGAACACTCTGAAATCCTGTGTCACTTTCCTGGGTCATCTGGGGGTGCCAGAACTTTCCTGAGTCATCTGGGGGTGCCAGAACTTTCCTGAGTCATCTGGGGGTGCCAGAACTTTCCTGAATCATCTGGGGATGCCAGAACTTTCCTGAATCATCTGGGGGTGCCAGAACTTTCCTGGGTCATCTGGGGGTGCCAGAACTTTCCTGAATCATCTGGGGGTGCCAGAACTTTCCTGGGTCATCTGGGGGTGCCAGAACTTTCCTGAGTCATCTGGGGGTGCCAGAACTTTCCTGAGTCATCTGGGGGTGCCAGACCTTTCCTGGGTCATCTGGGGGTGCCAGAACTTTCCTGAGTCATCTGGGGGTGCCAGAACTTTCCTGAGTCATCTGGGGGTGCCAGAACTTTCCTGAGTCATCTGGGGGTGCCAGACCTTTCCTGGGTCATCTGGGGGTGCCAGAACTTTCCTGGGTCATCTGGGGGTGCCAGAAGTTTCTTGAGGCGCACATACACATACACACACACACACACACATACACACACATACACACACATACACACACACACATTCACACACACACATACACACACACACGAACACACACACATACACACACACACACATACACACAATACACACACACAAACACACACACAAACACACAGTTTATTATTTATGTTGTCAAATCCTGAGAGTCCTCCTCCAAACATGAGAGCACATGATATCAAAGGCATCCCAACTGTAGCTGTGAACAGGATGTGTGATGACCTAGAAGAGCATCAGGACTGTTTGAGGCAGATGATAGCTCTGTGATTAACATGATGATTCAGCCACTATGGAGAGAGACATCAAGCATGCTCATTTCTGACGTGGAGCTAATCTGAAGTAAACATTGAATACTGCTTTCTATTCCTCCATCTTGTGACTGTGTAACTCCCTCTCTTGGATATCAGCATGTGAAGGACACTGTTCAGGAACTAGTTGATGCTCTGTATGTGATGACTGCTTCCGTTCTGGAGAGGACCACAGATACATGGATCCTGATGTTCAAGCTCAAGCCGGGGACCAGGGATAATTAACATGTTTCAGATTTTTGAGAAAAGTCAGATTTGTTTTAAAAAGTCAACATTTTGAGATTTTTTAGAAAAAGTCAGATTTTTTAGAAGAAGTCAGTTTTTTGGAAAAAAATCGGACTTTGGAGATTATGAGAAAAAGTCAGAACCGCTATTCCTCCATCTTGTGACTGTGTAACTCCCTCTCTTGGATATCAGCATGTGAAGGACACTGTTCAGGAACTACTTGATGCTCTGTATGTGATGACTGCTTCCCTTCTGGAGAGGATCACAGATACATGGATCCTGAGGCTGAAGCTCGAGACGGAGACCAGTGAGATTGTTCTAACAATTTCCAATAAATGTTATTCTGAAACATAACTATCACTGTTGTCTTTCCTTCTATAAATGAAGCCAACAATATGTCAAGCTGGCGCTTAGCCCTCCAACAAGTGCATGGGTGCAACTTAGACAGGTAAGCATTTTATATCAGTGGGTCCTCATGGTGCAACACGGAAGGCAGACAGAAGTCCCTAAGACACACCCTGAACAGTCTGGTGGGTCATGGTCCTTGTCATTTGCTTTTGTGTTCCCATAACAACATGTCCAAGATGTCCATGTGCCAGGCTAACACATGTGACAGAACTAGCTACATTTGTTAACATTCAAGCCATTTAAGAATAACAATGCTTACATGTCATTTGTTAAACATTAAGCTGTCTTCGGCTCTTTTCTGATTCTGATTACATATAACCTGTTGTAGAAACATTTATTGATGAAATTGATATGAAACAAATGCCATAAATATTGCTGTGACACTGATGTCACATCGGGACATTAACCCTAAATATTCACAGTAAACCCGGAGTGACATATATGCACAATTACAAATATGATTATGATCTGCTCAGTTAACTTAGCTGATTCAATTATATTTAGTTAACATATTCTTTATTATTCAATTCAAAGTATGTTCAAACAAATGTACACCAAAAAAATCATCCTCATTAATGAAGTTATAAATAAGAGTTACTTTACCATTAAAGCCCAATGTGACACATATGTCACATTTCAGATATTTGACACTAGGGGGTTACTTGTGTTAAATGTGTTCTAGGTGGTCTATTTAGTCTAAATGACGTTCCCCTTAATTTCCCCAAAAGTAGAAATGGGTCCGGGTTCTTATGGGTTAAACGTATAGGCTTAAAGCATGGCTTAAAGGCATAATAGAACTACTGTATTATATGTATTCAACGTGTGCCCCGCTGGACTTGCGTTTCTGTGGTTGACCGTTACTGTGACACATCAGTATAGCCACGGAAGATAGTTTGAGTGTTTCATTCCCATGCATCAAGGTTATTCTCATGTAATTGTTTTTCCTGCACAGTGTAGAGTCTTGTTGTGATGAGAGGGATACAGGTATTTCATAAAAAAACGTGCTCCCTGGAGAATAGCTACAGCATTGATATCACAATTTAATCGGAGCTGATCACAAGTTGTCATGAGTGATCCAGTCATGTCGATGAGCGTTCGGGCTGTGAATAAACGACTTGTGTTTTACTTTTAGGCTGTCTGAAGGTATGGACAGCTATCAGAGCTACTATACATCACATTAAGAACGATGTACAAATGAAAGTCGGACACAAATATATAATTTAAATTATTTATTCAAGTTTGCAATATTTTGAACAGGCATCCACACAGTCACCTACTTTGTGATGTTCGATACCTCCCTGTAAGCGTCACGATATCCACCTCTCACCCACAACCTCACATACGAGCACTGAATGTGCATCAAAGTGATCTTAGGAAGGCAGATATAGCAAAAGATGAACGTAAACGACAAACGAGGCGATCGACATGGTAAGTCAACAATGGGTCCTCAATGCACACGCCCGGATTCCTATGACGAACATAATAGACTGTCGCCAGTTGTCATGACTCACGTTATACTGCAACACCGGCAGGGGCGGCAGTGGGTAGTCCAACAGTGAAACCACAGAAGAAGCAGCTGCGCATGCGCTGTGTAATTCTGAGTGAAGATGTCTATCGACTTGGAGCTGAAGAAGGTGAGCAATCTCTTCTTTATTCATTATATGAGCTATATAACACACATTAACGCACAACATGTACACGTGGTGCACTCTGATATACCTAAGGTCACCTGTTGGTTCACTCAACTTCCGGTGAGAGGGTTTATCAGCAGCGCGAGCATCAGCTGTTCGCATGAGGAGCTAACACACGCTAGCAAAGCTACACATTTAACAGCAGAGAAGAAGAGGGCGGTATCTGAACACGTGCTCATAAATACTGCAGATATATAAAATACACGAGATTATACAGGTGAATATACACGTAATTATACACCTGATTATACAGGTCATTATATATATATATATCATCCGAGAGTGATGCCTCTCAGTCCAGGTGTTCTGATCAGAGTGATACCTCTCTGTTCAGGTGTTCTGATCAGAGTGATACCTCTCAGTCCAGGTATTCTGATCAGAGTGATACCTCTCTGTCCAGGTGTTCTGATCAGAGTGATACCTCTCAGTCCAGGAGTTCTGATCAGAGTGACACCTCTCTGTCCAGGTGTTCTGATCAGAGTGATACCTCTCTGTCCAGGTGTTCTGATCAGAGTGATACCTCTCAGTCCAGGTGTTCTGATCAGAGTGATGCCTCTCAGTCCAGGTGTTCTGATCAGAGTGATACCTCTCTGTTCAGGTGTTCTGATCAGAGTGATACCTCTCAGTCCAGGTGTTCTGATCAGAGTGATACCTCTCTGTTCAGGTGTTCTGATCAGAGTGATACCTCTCTGTCCAGGTGTTCTGATCAGAGTGATACCTCTCTGTCCAGGTGTTCTGATCAGAGTGATACCTCTCTGTTCAGGTGTTCTGATCAGAGTGATACCTCTCTGTCCAGGTGTTCTGATCAGAGTGATACCTCTCTGTTCAGGGTGTTCTGATCAGAAGTGATTACCTCTCTGTCCAGGTGTTCTGATCAGAGTGATACCTCTCTGTTCAGGTGTTCTGATCAGAGTGATACCTCTCTGTCCAGGTGTTCTGATCAGAGTGATACCTCTCTGTTCAGGTGTTCTGATCAGAGTGATACCTCTCTGTCCAGGTGTTCTGATCAGAGTGATACCTCTCTGTCCAGGTGTTCTGATCAGAGTGACACCTCTCTGTCCAGGTGTTCTGATCAGAGTGATACCTCTCATGTCCTAGGTGTTCTGATCAGAGTGATACCTCTCAGTCCAGGTGTTCTGATCAGAGTGATACTCCCTCTCAGTCCAGGTGTTTCTGATCAGAGTGATACCGGTCTCTGTTCAGGTGTTCTGAGTAGAGTGATACCTCTCTGTCCAGGTGTTCTGATCAGAGTGATACCTCTCTGTTCAGGTGTTCTGATCAGAGTGATACCTCTCTGTCAGGTGTTCTGATACAGAGTGATAACCTCTCTGTCCAGGTGTTCTGATCAGAGTGATACCTCTCAGTCCAGGTGTTCTGATCAGAGGATACCTCTCTGTCCAGTGTTCTGATCAGTAGTGACACCTCTCAGTCCAGGTGTTCTGATCAGAGTGACACCTCTCAGTCCAGGTGTTCTGATCAGAGTGACACCTCTCAGTCCAGGTGTTCTGATCAGAGTGATCCCTCTTGTTTGTAGGCCTTCTCTGAGCTGCAGGTGAAGATGCTCGACACCCAGCAGAAGGCGAAGCATCTCCGACCTGCAGATTCGGATCAGTTGACCTCGCGTTGCAGAAACTTCGCAAAGCTAACGAGAGCAGAGATCTCCCCCGCTGTCTCCAGCACGCGACTCTACGAGGGAGTGGGACGCATGTGAGGAGCAGAGATCTTCTATTCACATTTGAAATCAATGTTTACTATCAAATAATTAGTGTGTGTGTGTGTGTGTGTGTGTGTGTGTGTGTGTGTGTGTGTGTGTGTGTGTGTGTGTGTGTGTGTGTGTGTGTGTGTGTGTGTGTGTGTGTGTGTGCTGTGTGTGTGTGTGTGTGTGTGTGTGTGTGTGTGGTGTGTGTGTGTGTGTGTGTGTGTGTGTGTGTGTGTGTGTGTGTGTGTGTGTGTGTGTGGTGTGTGTGTGTGTGTGTGGTGTGTGTGTGTGTGTGTGTGTGTGTGTGTGTGTGTGTGTGTGTGTGTGTGTGGTGTGTGTGTGTGTGTGTGCTGTGTGTGTGTGTGTGTGTGTGTGTGTGTGTGTGTGTGTGTGTGTGTGTGTGTGTGTGTGTGTGTGTGTGTGTGTGTGTGTGTGTGTGTGTGTGTGTGTGTCAGGTTCATTCTTCAATCAAAGGAGGACATCAACAATCAGCTGATGGACAAACAGAAAACAGCTGATGAGAAAATTAAAGAGCTGGAGGTACAAATACACACTGAGATACTCAGTAAATACGCAGTAAATGCGTAGTAAATACACAGTAAATACGCAGTAAATACGCAGTGAATACGCAGTAAATACGCAGTAAATACACAATGAAATACGCAGTAAATACGCAGTAAATACGCAGTAAATACACAGTAAATACGCAGTAAATACGCAGTAAATACGCAGTAAATACGCAGTAAATACGCAGTAAATACGCAGTAAATACGTAGTAAATACGCAGTAAATACGCAGTAAATACGTAGTAAATACACAGTAAATACGCAGTAAATACGCAGTACACAGTAAATACACAGTAAATACGTAGTAAATACGCAGTAAATACGCAGTAAATACGCAGTAAATACACAGTAAATACGCAGTAAATACGCAGTAAATACGCAGTAAATACGTAGTAAATACGCAGTAAATACGCAGTAAATACACACTGAGATACGCAGTAAATACACAGTAAATACGCAGTAAATACGCAGTAAATACACACTGAGATACGCAGTAAATACACAGTAAATACGTAGTAGTAAATACAC